GCCAGTGTGTGTATGCCAGTGTGTATGTTGGTGTGTGTATGCCAGTGTGTATGCTGGTGTATGAATGCCAGTGTATGTGTGTGTATGCCAGTGTGTGTATGCCAGTGTATGTGTGTGTATGCCAGTGTATGAATGCCAGAGTATGTGTGTGTATGCCCGTGTATGAATGCCAGTGTATGTGTGTGTGTATGCCAGTGTATGAATGCCAGTGTGTGTGTGTATGCCAGTGTATGAATGCCAGTGTGTGTATGTCAGTGTATGTGTGTGTGTGTATGCCAGTGTGTATGCTGGTGTATGAATGCCAGTGTATGTGTGTGTATGCCAGTGTATGTGTGTGTATGCCAGTGTATGAATGCCAGAGTATGTGTGTGTGTATGCCAGTGTATGAATGCCAGTGTATGTGTGTATGCCAGTGTATGAATGCCAGTGTGTATGCCAGTGTGTGTATGTCAGTGTATGTGTGTATGTATGCCAGTGTGTATGCCGTTGTATGAATGCCAGTGTATGTGTGTGTATGCCAGTGTGTATGAAAGCCAGTGTATGTGTGTGGATGCCAGTGTGTGTATGACAGTGTGTGTGTATGCCAGTGTGTATGCTGGTGTATGAATGCCAGTGTATGTGTGTGTGTATGCCAGTGTGTGTATGAATGCCAGTGTATGTGTGTGTATGAATGCCAGAGTATGTGTATGAATGCCAGTGTATGTGTGTGTGTATGCCAGTGTATGAATGCCAGTGTGTGTGTATGCCAGTGTGTGTGTGTGTGTATGCCAGTGTGTATGCTGGTGTATGAATGCCAGTGTATGTGTGTGTATGCCAGAGTATGTGTGTGTATGCCAGTGTATGAATGCCAGTGTATGTGTGTGTGTATGCCAGTGTATGAATGCCAGTGTGTGTGTGTGTATGCCAGTGTATGAATGCCAGTGTGTATGCCAGTGTGTGTATGTCAGTGTATGTGTGTATGTATGCGAGTGTGTATGCCGGTGTATGAATGCCAGTGTATGTGTGTATGAAAGCCAGTGTATGTGTGTATGTATGCCAGTGTGTGGATGCCAGTGTATGTGTGTATGTATGTATGCCAGTGTATGTATGCCAGTGTATGAATGCCAGTGTATGTGTGTATGTATGCCAGTGTGTGTATGCCAGTGCGTGTGTGTATGCCAGTGCATGTGTGTATGTATGCCCATGTATGCCAGTGCATGTATGCCAGTGTATGTGTGTGTGTATGCGTGTGTGTATGTATGCCAGTGCGTGTCTGTATGCATGCCTGTGTGTGTCTGTATGTATGTATGCCTGTCGGTATGTATGTATATATCAATATGCAGTATGTATATGTATGTTTGTCAGTATGTATGTCTGCTTGTATATGTGTGTGTGTCTCATCATCTCCCTATGCATGTGTGTATGTCTGTTTCAGTATTTGTATCTGTTAGTGTGTGTGTATTCCTGTGGGCGGGATTTGGAGGCAGGCTTGAAGGGGGGCCCAGACCTTGAGCTGTGTTAGGGGCCCCAAAATTTCTGATGGCGGCCCTGTGTGTGCCTGTCTGTCTGTATGTATGTGTCTGCCTGTATTTGTGTGTGTGTGTGCCTGCCTGTATTTGTGTGTGTGCCTGTCTGTCTGCCTGTATGTGTGTGTGCTTGTTTGTATGTATGTATGTATGTATGTATGTGTCTGCCTGTATGTATGTGTGCCTGTATGTATGTCTTTGTATGTATGTATGTGTGTGTGTATGTATGTGTGCCTGTCTGTATGTATTTATGTCTGCCTGTGTGTATGTGTCTGCCTGTCTGTTTGTATGTATGTATGTATGTGTCTTTGAATGTGTGTCTGTCTGTGTGCCTGTATGTGTGTATGTCTGTATTTATGTGTGTGTGTCAGTCTGTATGTATGTGTCTGTGTGTGTGTCTGTATGTGTCTATGTGTGTGTGTGTGTATGTGTGTGTGTGTCGGAGGAGGAAGGGGGGCCACGGATCAGTTTCGCACCGGGCGGCACCTGGATTGTGTGTACGCCACTGAGAGTGTGTATATATATTAGGCTTTTCAATAAACTGCAATCTTTAAGTTTGGATTCCAATATTGTTGAATGGGAAAGGCAGTGGCTGAGTGACAGACAACAGAGGGTTGTAGTTAATGGAATATATTCGAAGCTTGGACTTGTCACCAGTGGGGTGCCTCAGGGATCTGTACTTGAACCCATTCTCTTTAATATTTTTATTAGTGATATTGCAGAAGGTCTTGATGGTAAGGTATGTCTTTTTGCTGATGATACTAAGATATGTAACAGGGTTGATGTTCCAGGAGGGATAAGCCAAATGGCAAATGATTTAGGTAAACTAGAAAAATGGTCAGAATTGTGGCAACTGACATTTAATGTGGATAAGTGCAAGATAATGCATCTTGGACGTAAAAACCCAAGGGCAGAGTACAGAATATTTGATAGAGTCCTAACCTCAACATATGAGGAAAGGGATTTAGGGGTGATTATTTCTGATGACTTAAAGGTAGGCAGACAATGTAATAGAGCAGCAGGAAATGCTAGCAGAATGCTTGGTTGTATAGGGAGAGGTATTAGCAGTAGGAAGAGTGAAGTGCTCATGCCATTGTACAGAACACTGGTGAGACCTCACTTGGAGTATTGTACACAGTACTGGAGACCGTATCTTCAGAAGGATATTGATACCTTAGAGAGGGTTCAGAGAAGGGCTACTAAACTGGTTCATGGATTGCGGGATAAAACTTACCAGGAAAGGTTAAAGGATCTTAACATGTATAGCTTGGAGGAAAGACGAGACAGGGGGGATATGATAGAAACATTTAAATACATAAAGGGAATCAACACAGTAAAGAAGGAGACTACATTTAAAAGAAGAAAAACTACCACAACAAGAGGACATAGTCTTAAATTAGAGGGACAAAGGTTTAAAAATAATATCAGGAAGTATTACTTTACTGAGAGGGTAGTGGATGCATGGAATAACCTTCCAGCTGAGGTGGTAGAGGTTAACACAGTAAAGGAGTTTAAGCATGTGTGGGATAGGCATAAGGCTATCCTAACTATAAGATAAGGCCAGGGACAAATGAAAGTATTTAGAAAATTGGGCAGACTAGATGGGCCGAATGGTTCTTATCTGCCGTCACATTCTATGTTTTTATATATATATATATATATATATATATATATATATGTCGCACCTATTGATTTTATATATGTGTGTGTCTGTATGTGTGCCTGTCTGTGTCTGTGTATGTTGGTCTGTATGTATGTGTCTGTGTGTGTGTCTGTTTGTATATATGTATGTGTGTATCTGTGTGTATGTGTCTGTATGTATCTGTCTGTATGTGTCTATATGTGTGTCTTTGTGTCAGTATGTGTGTGTGTCAGGAGGGAGGGGGGCCCACGGATCAGTTTTGCACCGGGACCCCATGGATTGTGTGTACGCCACTGAGAGAGAGAGTGTGTGTGTGTGTGTGTGTGTGTATATATATATATATATATATATATATATATATGTCACACCTATTGATTTTATATAGTAAATAGAACTCACTGCTCCCTACTGGAGACAGGTGCATGACACGCAGATGAGGTAGCAGATGAGGGGATGAATTTTCACCCAGTCAACATTTGAATTAACAAGACGGGTCTACTGATTTCAAAATACAAAGAAACTGTCATTTACTCACGGCAGCTCTTTCTCTGATACCGGCAATGTGGCGACATAAGGAACCACCAACTTTCCAAGACTGGCTCGGAAGAGTGGAGGAAATCTGACAGATGGCATTGCGGCAGTCGGTGGACGACTAGAAAAACATGAGGAAATCTGGAGAATGCGGATGTTCTACTTGTGTAACAGAGACTAATTTAACAGTTTGAATGGAGGAGACGACGGGGTGGAGTGTGC